TCCACCGAGTTGAGATGGTTAAAGGCACTGTTCACGAAAAAAATGGTTTCGGAGATCTGCACATGGTTTGAATTCGACGCCCCCTCTGCTACCATTTTTGCAGGAATGAGGTCGGAAAACGGTCTGGATAGGGCACAATAAGGGCAGGAACAGTGGGGGACGGGAGGCCTCCGCCCCTCGCTAGGCTGACTACGAGTTTTAATTGTCCTTCACCACATTCTCATTGGAGCGATGTGTCTGCTTGGGTGTGTTGTCTGCTATTGCAGGCATTGCGTCGCCTTCGTGCACTCGCCCGAACACTCCCTTAACCGCCGTTTTTCCAATGTGAAACTCGTCCAACCCCCCTTCCAGCTCTTTTTTGACCCTTTCTATTTCTTTTTGTTCATCGTTTTTTGCGCTTTTTTCGTTGTTATGGCTTTATTCTAGAGTAGTTCTATGAATTCCCGTCAAAAAAGGGTACCCTAAATTTATCGTAAACGGTGCCTTTAATACAAGATGGCCAATGATGATAATGTTGTTGCCGATGATGTTTCTGAACGTTATATTTTTCTCCTCACTGCAAATCGGGAAAGCTCATAGCAGTTACTTACAGCAACTTAGACAAAAAAAGAAAATTTAGAAACGAAGAGCATCCCAGCCGTCAGAGATAATGCGCCCAGCTTTGTTTCCATAATTTCGTCTTATCCTGCATATTTCGACGTGTGAAAAACTCAATGGAATACCCAAAACTTACTTCCTTCGTATTCACTCGATGTTGTGGACTTTCTGGTAGGAGCACTGGTGGAGAGCGACTTGAATACATCGAACTCGTGAGGCCTTTGTGTGTCTGTACCTGTTGCAACAGTAACTAAAGGATAATTCAAAATGAAAGTGGAGAGTTATTCAATTGAATATTACTCTTTCAATAACCATTAATAAATTTTGGAAACTTGTAGTTTCGTCCGAAAAGGTGATACCTGAACTCGTTAGATCTTCTGGGAATTTTGTCGACTCTGTAGATTCGATCCTAGAGCTTGTCGAAGGTGAACCTAAGCCTAAACTGCTCACGCAATCTGTAGTATTCCTGTTCATAGCGCAAATGGTTGAATCTGAACATTTTGATTTTTATAGGGAATGCCATACTAAGGATTCTTGTACCACTCACTTGAAACCGTTTGCATAGGTTTTGTTGAATTAGCAGGCCCTTTCAAAGAGCTCGGGCCTTGTGTAGTCGGCTGCGAAACTGTTTCGTTATTTGTGAGATTAAATTTACCAGGATACCGTAAACTGTAGGATTTTTCCATTTTTGTTGATGGATTTCCAGTGGTAAATTCATGTTTCCGTGTTAGAAAATTTATATTACCAGATGCCTCAGCACTGGTCCCCTGAATAGATGTACCTCGGAAACTGTGATCTTTAGATGAATGAGGCATCGATGAGGGAATGCTAGATGTTTTCTCGGAGTTTCTAGGTAATGTATGAATCTCTTCTGGAGATGACTTCACATTTGAGCTGGACTGTGGAATGAATGGTGTGACGCTTGATCCCTCTACCTCGGAAGTAGCGGTAGTTTTCCGAGCGCTCCATCTTGTTGCATAGATAAACTTTGACATGGTGTGTGCCGATGAAATTGCATGAAAATCCCCAGGACCTTGAGCCTGCATGCCTTCTGCTCTGGTAGATCCTGGAAGGGATGATCTCATTTCCTGACTTACACTGTGAGAATCCTCGGACATGCCCACAGAGGCTGGCGGGTTTTGGATTGTTGTTGCCTTTACCTGAGTCGAGTTCACTGTTTCAAGTGTTGAAGGCATAGTTTCCGCAGGTTTGTTAAACTCTGGCGTGACACTAATAGAAAATGCTTCAGCGTTAACCTTCACTGGGTCATCTCCCTCCAAGCTCTTGCTCTCCGATGAAACTTTCGTCGTTGGTAGTTTATTTCTGAATGTTGTTTCCTCTGCATTGCTATTAGGTGCTGTTTCCGATACTAATACTGGCGTACTGTACATCGCTCCTGAACCAGGACTATACATTGTGCTTTCCCTCGATAATGATGGCGAGACTGACTTCACTTCCTCTACAGAAGTGATATGCGATGATGTCGCTGTAGGTGGTATGCTCCTGCTGTACCTCACTTCTGGTACAGTGCTGATCATGGAGTTCTCGGGAGTTTGTACCATCTCGTTGGATATAGCTTCTGATACAGTGCTACTCGATGCAGTATCTGTCGATGGTGACAGCTTGCCTGAAGTGGTATGTCTTATAGGGTAAGATGATGAGATTTCCATTGGTGGTAGTCGCGTCCTGTACGCCGCTCCCTCCACAGCGCTAGGGGATGTGTTATCTGTCGGCGGTAAGGGCGTGGCGGATGTAAATTGCCTCAATGTGCTGTGTGGTAATGCTCCCGTTCGTTGTGGCACATTGCTGGATGCAGGCTGACTCACTGATGCCGTTTCTGACATTTGAGACAGGATACTAGACGTCGTTCCCTCTCCAGTGCTCAGAAACAAGGTTTTTGTAGCTTGTGGAATTTCGCTGTATGTACTTTCTGATGCAACGCTGTCCGATTTGCTTTCCGTAGGTAGTGGTCGCGTGTGTGTAGTTTTTCTTACAGTGCTAAGTAGAGAGATTCCCGTTGGTTGGGCCATCTTGCTAGACGCCATTTCTTTGACAGTACCATAGGACGAAGCTTCTGTCCATTGTGGCACTTTGCTGGACTTAGTTAAGCGCACAATTCTATGGGATGCAGGTTCTGACGGTAATGGTGACGCGTTGGAAGTTATTCTTTCAACAGCACCCTGCGACGAGGCTTTCGTCATCAGTGGCAGTTTGCTAGACATCGATTCCTCCATCGATCTTCTACCTATCTGCGTTTTCGTCTTTCCCATGTCAAAAACCTCTGAACTCTGAAGATCAGATGTCATTGTCGTCGGTATTGCCTTTCCAGAGGCAGAAGTTTCAGATCTTGGGTTAGACATCACACCATTATCTTCTGATGATAAAGACTTGTGGAGAAGGGGAGACGTCAAAGTAGAGATTTCGATAGAATTCTGCGTCGCTAACTGCGAATCTTTTCTTTCAGGCAGATGCAAGCCTTTAGATGAAGAGCTCATGATAGAAGGAGCGATCTTAGTTCCCGCGGAAGTCGTGGTGAGCTGTAAGGTTCTACTAGTCCCAGTCGTCGTGGTTTCCGTCGGTAGTGGGGATGTGTTTGTCGTCGTTTCTTCTTCAGCACTAAGCGAGGAGTGCTCCGTCGCTGGTTGTAACGTGCTGGATGCAGGAGAAGAAAATGTTGAGGTTTTCGTACGATCACGTGTACCTACAGATGTTCCTTCTCTTTCGAGCGAGTGCGAGCCTTCAGACGAAGAGGTCATGATATAGGGTATGCTCCGACTTTCCGATGAATTCTTCCTTAGTGGTATAGTGGTACTTTTTGTCCAACCGTATTCACTTTTGAGGTCTCCATAATCCCAATAATCGCCTTTTGTCAACTCGGTTTCTAGGCTTATCTTCACTGCTGTGCTGCTGCTTAAAATCTTACCCAACAAAGTGCTTCTTCTAGAAGTTGCTGAAACTTGTGATTGCGAAGAAGATTTGACTTCATTTGGACTTTCTGTAGCCGCTGAAATGTTGGTCCTTGATACGATAGACGAGGCTGATGGATGAAATGATGTACTTCCTCTCAGTGAACTAATGGTAGTCTCATTGGGCGCAGTGGATGACAATAGTTGAGTTTGGCTTCTTCGTTCAACACTTGTTAAATGAGTTGTTTGTTCTTCTCTAGAAACTTGTGGCAACAGATTTGGATTTTTGCTGGTCTCTGTTAGTTTCACTCTTGTGGATTCTTCTGTAGCGTGCAGTGAAAGTGACGGAGCTGATGGATGTTCCGTAGTAATTCGAGTTACTGCCGTTGGTGTTACTACTGTATGGTGAATGAATGAGTGACTTGATTCTCTTGCAGTCGAGATTTTTGTTGTTACCGTACTTGTCACTTCCTTCATTGGCTTTCTTTCCGTTTGCACTTTCCCAGTCGCCATGTCGGACACACCTGAATTCTGAAGATCATGTGTCATTGTCGTCAGCGTTGTCCTACCATACGGAGAAGTTTCAGGCATTGTGTCCGTCGTGTTCATCGTGGTGAAGTCCGTCGCTTTCAGCGTCGAAGATGACGGATGTGGTGGATGCCTGGATGTGATTTGAGATCCTGCCGTTGATGTGACAGTTGATTGGTGAATAGCTTGATGACTTGACCTTTCTGCAGATGTGGTTTTTGCTGCTACTGTACTTGTATTCGTGACTTTTGTAATGCTGTCTAATCCGTCTTCAGTCGTAGTGCTTCCTCCTCCTTCCGTTGAAATTCTATCTGGTTTTGGGCTCGACGTTTGATTACGTGAGTGTGAGCAAGAAACACGAGCAGCATGAAGACTGTTACCATCATCAGAAGCAGAAGAGGTTCCGGAAAGCCATCTACCTAGCCGAGCACCTGTCTCTTTTTCAAAGCTTTTTCCGCTACAGTAATTTGGAATCTTACAAGGGCAAAGTGCTTCGATACATTCCTGTCCTTCAAAGCTCTGACCAAGCACTTTCATGATTGCTCTTTCCAATGAATGGTCTATGCACTTATCGCAATCATTGGGAAAATTTAAGAACTTGAAAGCCCAATCTCGCGTCATTATGATATACGGCCGACTTCCTGCCTGCGGTTGCTCATCGCAATGGCCTGAAATGTTATAATACTCTTCAGGAGTAGACAGAATATCGAATGCAATCGCTACAGACTTTCCTAACCTACCTGTGGACTCTGAAATCGTCGTAGTTTGTGACAGATTGGTGGACGTGGATTGTCTCACAGTGCTATGTGATGTGGTTTCGGTAGGCACAGGTGACGTGCTGAGAGTTGGTCCCTCTACTGTGCTATAGGATGAAACTTCAGTCCGCTGTGACAGCTTCTCAGACGTAGACTGCCTTTTTAACGTGCTATGCAACGCAGTTTCCGTTGGTAGTGTCGGTGTCTTAGACGTTAACTGCTCTACAGTTTTCGAAGACAATGTTTTCGTCTGTAATGGTGAGCTGCTAGACATCAACTCCTCAATCCTTTTTCTTCCCGCTTGCCTTTTAGTAGTCTTCATGTCAGAAACACCCGAACTTTGTAGCTCATATGTTATTGTCGTCGCTGTCCTCTTTTCAGGCGGAGAAGTTTCAGGCATTGTGTCCGTCGTCTTCATCGTGGTGAATTCCGTCGCTTTCTGCGTTGAAGGAGACGGAGCTGTCGAGTGGTTGATAGCTTGGTGTTTTGATGTTCTTGTAATTGCAATTTCTGTCGCTATCGTACTTGTGTTTGTCATATTTGTAAAGCCATCAAGTTTGCCTTCAGTCGCTGTGTTTCCTGTGTTCTTCGTCGAAGCCCTACTCGGAGTGATCTCTTGATGTGCACAAGAAACAGCAGCAATAACAATATTGCCAACAGATTCATGACCTAGGCGAGGCAAGAAAGGATGCGATCCGGTCCTCCATACACCTGCTCCTTTTTCCAAACTTTTTTGGTTACAATAATTTGGAACCCTACAGGGGCAGGGAGCATTGAAACAAAAATCTTCTTTGGGGTTGAGTACCCTTGTGATTGTTTCAGTTATCGAATGGTCCCAACATTTCCTAGGACAGCCGTTGCTTTCATTGAGGAATTTCGTCAACCAATCTTGGGTCATCGTGAAGTACCACAGTGTTCCTGTTCGCAATTGTTTATTACAATCGTATACCGCATCTGAAATATAGCAATATGCTCTCAAAGAGGTGGATTCTCATATACAATCGCTGAAGACTTTCTTAACCTACCTGTGAATTCTGTAATTGCCTGATTCGTTACTTTGCTAGACCGAGATTGCTTCACAGTGCTATGCGATGCGGTAGCCATCGATAGCGGTGCTTTTAACGTCGTTTCCTCTGCATCTGAAATGTTTAATTATACTTCAAAACATGCACTACAGAATTTCCAAACTCACGTGTAGTTTCTGGAACACTCGTACTTTCTGATATCTTGCTAGAATTAGCTTCTCTCACAGTACTACGTGAAGCGATTCTGGCAGGTAGCGTTGGCGAACTGGAGGTCGCTTCCTCTATAGTGTTATATGACGAAGCTCCACTCCGCAGTGTCATTCGCTTAGAGGTGTATTGCCTCCTCGACGTGTTTTGCAAATCAGTTCTCTCCTTCGACGTCGGCGCTTTGGACGTTGACTGCTCTACAGTTATGGGTGACAAGGTTTTCGTCTGTAGTGGTGCACTGCTAGACATTGATTCCTCCATCGGCTTTCTCCCCGTTTGCATTTTCGAAGTCTCCATGTCCGACGTACCTGAACTCTGGAGATCATAGGTTATTGTCGTTGTTGTCGTCCCGCCAAACGGAGTGGTTCCAGACATTGCGACAGTAGTGTCCATCCTGGTGAATTCCTTACCGTCACGCGTTGAAGGTGACGGCGATGTGATCTGCGGTCCTACCGTTGGTGTTACGGATAAGTGGTTAATAGCTTCGTGGCTTGACGTGCTTGCAATTGAGATTTCCGTCGTCGTTGTGTTTGTAAGTTCTGTACTGTGATAGAAGCCTTCAGTCGTTGTACTTCTTCTGCTCTTTGTCGAAGCACTGCTTGGCTCTGAGCTCGTGGGCTGATTGTACGATTGTAGGCAAGGGAGAGATGTAAAATTATAATCATCGCGCTGAGAAGAATGCTCTCCCTTAAGAGTGCCATTGCTTTTCCAAATTCTTGCCCCTTTTCCCATGGCTTTTTCGCAAAAATTTGGGATCCTACAGGGACAAGGTGCTTCGAAGCAGAGCCCTTCTTTAGGTTTTCCGTGTTTGTAGTTGAGTTCATCTATAATTGACATAATCAACTGTTGGTCAATGCAATTCCGAGAACACCCGCCGCCATTCGCAAATAATCCCCAGATCCAATCTCGAGTCATTATGAAACGCGTCCGCTCTCCCACTCGTGACTGTTCATTACAGTCTTCTCCTGCATCTGGAACGTTATAATACACTTCAATATAATCACTACAAAATTTCTGAACTTACGTGTAATTACTGAAACACTCGTCCTTTGTGATATCTTGCTAGAAGTAGCTTCACTCGCAGTACTACGTGAAGTGATTCCGGCAGGTAGTGTTGACGAGCTGGAGGTCGCTTCCTCTATAGTGCTATATGATGAAGCTCCACTCCGCAGTGTCATTCGCTTGGAGGTGGATTGCCTCTTCAACGTGCTTTGCAAATCAGTTCCCTCCAGTGATGTCGGCGTTCTGGACGTCGACTGCTCTACAGCTATGGGCAACAAGGTTTTCGTCTGTAGTGATGATCTGCTAGACAATGATTCCTCCATCGGCTTTCTCCCCGTTTGCATTTTCGAAGTCTCTATGTCCGGCACACCTGAAGTCTGGAGATCATATGTTATTGTCGTTGTTGTCGTCCTTCCGGAAGCAGAAAATTCAGACATTGAGTTAGACTTCTCACCCATATATGCTGTTGATAAAGACGTAGGGTAAATTTTCGTTGAAGAACTTTCGAAGGAGGACTTTGCGGCTGTGGTCTTAGAAGGTTCACGTGTAGCTGCAGAAGTTCCTTCTCTTCCAAACACATGCGAGCGCTCAGATGAAGAGTTCAAGTCAGAGGAAACGCTCCGAGTTTCCGGCAAAGAGGTACTCAGTGTTATTGTCGCACTATTTGCCAAACCGTCCTCACTTTGGGGATCCCGACTATGCGATGGCGAACCTGTACTAAAGCCTTTTGTCAAGTCATTCGTTGCTCTCGTTTTCACTGTAGCCCTGCTGCTCAAAATTTCATACAATGAAATGCCTCCTTTTGAAGTTGTATGGCTCAAAATTTTATATAATGATATGCCTTCTATTGAAGTTGTATGAAATTGTGTTTGTGAAGGAGATTTCTCCTGATTCACTGTAGCCGCAGTAGTTTCAGATTTCAATAAGGTAGGCGAGGTTGATGATTGGAATAAAGTTCTTTCTTTAACTGAACTAATAGGATCTTCACTGGACCCACTAAACAGCAGCGACTGAGTCTCCCTTCTTGGATCTACGCTTATTAGCCGAGTTGTTTGTCGTTTTCTGGAAGTATCTGACCATCCATACGGATTCTTGCTCGCCTCCGTAGTAGTTGCACTGATCCTGGTGGATACTTGGAATGGAGTTTGTGAAGATTCGAGGGTCATTCGGGATTCTGTTTTTGGTGTCACTGTAGAGTGAAGAATAGCTGAATGACTTGAGATTTCCACAGTTGGGATCCTTGTCCCTACGGTACTTGAGTTTGTTAACTTTGTTGTGTGATTCAGCTTGTCTTCAGTAGTTGTGCTTCTCTTCGTCAAAGCCCCACTTGATATTGAGCTCGACGTTTGATTGTACGAGTGTGGGCAGAGGACATAGCTAATCTTAAAAGCACCTGCACCGCCATGACGTCCAGAAAGATTCCCTCCCAAAAGGGTGTCATTGCTTTCCCAGACACTTGTTCCTGTTTCCATGGTTTTATCGTTACAAAAATTCGGCATCTTACACGGACAAGGTGCCTCTATGCAGAGCCCTTTTTCTGATTTTCGCTGAAGTTTTTTCTTTAATGATGAAATCAAGGAATGGTCCCGGCACTTCGAAGGGCACCCTTCGCCATGCTTTTTGAATGACTGAATCCAATCCACAGTCATTATAAAACGAGGCTGTACTTCCGCTTGTGCTTGCTCACTACAGTCATCTTCCGCATCTGAACTTGACGTTTCAATTTCATTTCAGACAAAACTTAAAAACAAAGACTACGCACTTTTACGACCATTCTGTGAAGTCTCCCCAACCATGGCCCATAGAATAATACACCAAAGCAAAATTGTAGCGGTAACATCTGACATCGTTCTTCCTGCAATCTCCGCGCAAAGGTGGCCAGACAGAAACTCAAATGGGTCGAAAATGTTGTAGTACTGCGATGTACTTGACTCGTTGGACTTATCGAAAAGTTCGTACCACTGTAGATAGGCCCCAAATTAGAAAATATTGTAAAGTGCAATGATTGGCATGGGCTTCTTTGTATTGTTGAATCTCAATGTAACTTAAGAGGCTACCTCCCTGTAGCAACACAAACAACTACTACAATAGCAATGAGCTGCAAACAGCTTCATCGTAAACCTTAACAGGAATCTGGAAAGATCTTTCCCTGGCGAGGACGGAGCTCACTCGGAAGTCAGATAACTCCTACCCAAAATACACTAATAAAAAGCCACATCCTATTCCAGTGGTCTATATTAGTTAGAGCTGAAATAAAGTTGAGCGGACTAAAACACGCAAGACCCTGGATAGGGCCCCACCATCAATACTCGCCTAGGCCAACTGAGTTTTCCATCCATTCAAGGTCGATTTATTGGCGCCAGCATCGTTGAACGATAAAAATACTACCTTGTAAGCTGGCTGTTCACCCAAGTCACCTGATAGGCCGTATTTCTTCCCATCAACTGTACCACATATTTTCAGCTTCAGCGTTGTGGGTTAAAGACTGAATGCCATTTCTTTGGAACAGTCCCTACATCAATGCGAGAACTACTTTCCCCTACGATTAGGGCCTAGATTTCCCTTTCTACTGAGAAGTCATTCCCCCTTGTGCTATTCTCTCCTGCATCTGTCCAGCCATGTTGTAAGAGTCTTCACATATATTGTATTATATTATAATTTCATGGGCACAATCCGCTCATATGGCACTAGATTTTTACTCAGCAATACGCTTGCTCCGGGAACTCTGACGATATCTCCGACTGTAAGTATAGATCTACAGGAGCGAGCTGATTGCCTAGAGTAAATCCGACGTGCTTGTAACATGCCACTTTTGACCCTGTCGGTCATCATAATTCTGCTCAGTGGCCTATTCACTTCTGTTATACAATAGTTTGGCCCCTGTTGTTGCTAGAGGCTTTGATTTCAGAGAGATGCCATAAATGTGCTCAATAGATGAAATTACTTACATAGACGGGTTCCATCGAATCCCACAGCCAGGAAAGAAATCTGAAGGAACTTCGCTGGAATTTCGAAGCGTCTGGCTCTAAATGGTAATGATGCCGCTTTAGAGAGTTACGGTATCGAATTTAGTGTGACACAACGAACACCATTTTGAACGATAGCCAACTCACCTATTGGGGTACAGCAGTGAACATGAGTCTGCACTCAAAATGGTAACGAGTCTTCATCGCCAAGTATTGCTTGCTCCGCCCCTTGCATAATACATCAGCGCTCAAGTAGCCAACTTCCACTCGACGACGAAAACCTTATCCGTACCAGTCAGAACTATTGAGTGTGGGAATTAATCCAAAGGTGAATGCAAATACATCGTTCACCCTATGTAAAAAAAATTTCTTAGTAAACCTAATCACTAATTAGCAAAAGTTAGCAAAAAATACCAACGCCAGTTATCCAGACCCACCCCTTCCCGTTCGGGGGTGGATCATTTCACACTAATCAAGAGGCAAGTTTAGGTTGTATGTTGACCAAATCGATCAGTTGCATCAGTTCTTCACTAGCACCCTGGACTCAAAACTCTGGAAGTTTTTAATTCTTCAGCTTCATAATGAAAAGTGAGGCCTGCTAATCCAAAGTAGTACCAACAGTTTTTGAATGCTGCAATAGAAAAACTAGCTAGAAAATTTCAAGCCGAGACCTCCTTCAGTGATTGTAAAATATCACCAATGATTTGCTGAGTTTTCGAGTGTAGCTGGATGAAGAGGGATACTTCAGAAGGAATCGCCAAACTTCTTCTGATTTCTGAACACTAAAATTTTTTGGTAGGTTATTTCTTTATGGTGACAATGAGCCTAATTCGTTGAGATTTTCTTGTCGACCTCTTAAAAGCCTCCTAGTTACAGTAACGAATTTGATGTGACACAATAATTCAGTATATTTGCTCGCTGTCATGGTTACATGGTAGCAGCAAAGCGGAGTTTCAAAGATAGGAACCCCTGACTGGTTGAAAAAACATTGTACCAGCCCATTTCGGGCTCTAGTAACTCTGGCCTACCACATTCTGAACGTACTTTGAAGCTGAGACATTTCGAAAGAGAGATCATTTTTCTCTTGGCCCTCCTCGTCACCCTGCTCCTCAAGACGAATTGCTGGATTGTTCAGAAAGTAATTACTTTTTCGAAATCGAGTTTCTTGAACGTTTGTTTTGGGAGCTTCTCAGAATTTCGACGCTTTTCACTTGATATATATTACAAGTATATATTTGTCCTTTCTTTAAGGAAAAAACTGAACAAATTTCATTTCTACTTGTAATTTTAGGGTCAGTTTGAACAAGGAGTGGCAGATGGAGCATTCTCGATACATCTCATTTTTCTATTTTTATCAGCTGCTGCTGAAATTTTTCACGATAATTGTAGAACAAAAAATGACAATGTCTCATTACAGAGCACATG